TAGTGTACACAGAACTGTAAAAGAGAAGCAACATCAGGAACAGCCCACTAGTGCATAGATAAGAGAACAATAGATGCAGGGTCTGTAATGGAAGATAGATGGGTATTAGCTACTTGGAAGCACTAATGGAGTGAACAAGAACAACTTTTAAATCATCAATATCCAGGTGCTTAGCATTACTTAGGAATAAAGCAATTAGGATTCAAAGGAAATAATTATCAGATTTAACAAAGAGGCCATTTAATGTCTGTCACCATATCATTACTCCTATTTAATGGTAGGGAAACACTAAGGAGTTAAAATGCATTGTGAGCATGGATTAGATAGCACAGTGAAACAAGTCACAGCAGTTATAATTAAAAAGTGGGTAATTGCCACAGTTACTGCACAGTAACATTGAAGATGCTATTGCTTGCCCCTACACTTTCAACTGGAAGTAAAAAGCAATTGTGTGTGGACCTTGCTGAAAATGTATTAAATGATAAATACTGTAGATGGAAAATGCGTGAATGATGCAATTAGTGTGAACTGCTGCTCCAGCTTTGTAATGGTTATTTGGGCTTGTCATTTACTTAGGACTTTTCTGACTTCTTTCTATTCTTAACCTCTTCAACACATACACATAATGTTGTCTTCAGTCTGCTCACACTGATGATGCCCAGAGCAGCCAATATGTCATAGTTACTCTATATTTTGGAATTTAGTTGAAATGCACAGAATTCTGTTAAATACACAGACAGGCTGCAATACAACAATGAAATCCATCTGTTTTATTGAAAGTTAAATGTAGGACTGAGAGTTCCAAAACTAAATGAAGAAAACTTGATGAAACTGATGCCCCATTTCCATACACGACAGGTGTAGAATAGAAAATCCACTAATTATGAAAAACATTTTAATCCTGCTGTTTTAAGTAACTATCAAAGAGCAGAGATTTCTGTTTCTCTTGAAGAAATTACAGGGCTAAAAATACGAAAAAATTAAACTGCTACCAATGGGCCAAAAGCAGACACAGAATAGAATTTAGTGCCCTAATAATAAGGAAAGTAATTGCTGCTCAATAAAATTTCTCTCTTGATAACATTTCAAAAAACACTAAGTACACAGTGATGTGAGCATTCTTGCAAAAAGCTGCTGTGAATCTTCAAGGCAGCCTAGGCTTAAGTGATGTGCAAAGAAAATATGGTAATAATGAAGACATTAAAAGGTTTATAGAACCAGTAATAGTAGCAAGAAGCAAGATAAAGCACTAGTTTTCTGCAAGGGATCATAGGCAAAAACACAAAGCTAAGAAAAAAGAGAATATTAATTTTGAGGACAGCTGAAAAGAGAAGGTGAACTCTTCTATCTACAGTCTGTAAAATAAGAAAGGACTTGAAGAACAAAGACTAAAATTCTGTATTAATTAGAATTCCACCAAATAACTCCATATTAGAAATTATGCTGAGCAAACATAGAAGTAATGTTGAGATTACTCTCATGTTGAGATTACTCTCAGCATTTGATGCTCAAAAGACGGTATTATTACATTATCTTATTATTATCAAATTATTACATTCTTACTAATGTCTAACCTAAAATTCCCCTCTTCCAGTTTAAAGCCATTACCCCTCATCCTATCACTACATGCCCTTATAAATTCCTTCCTCTGCTTTCCTGTAGGCCCCTGCAGATATTGGAAGACAGCTACAAGGTCTCTGCAGAGTCATCCCTTCTCCAGGCTGAACAACCCCAACTCTCTCAGCCTTTCTTTTGAGGAGAGGTGCTTCAGCCCTCTGATCATCTTTGCGCCCCTCTTCCGGATTTGCTCCAAGAGCTCCATGTGCTTCCTGTGTTGGGGGCTTCAGAGTAATACTCCAGGTGGAGTCACACGAGGGCTGAGTAAAGGGGGAGAATCAGCTCTCTTGAGCTGCTGGCCATGCTTCTTTTGGCCCAGCCCAGGATACGGTTGGTTTTCTGGGCTGCAAGGACACATTGTCACTCCTGTTGAGCTTCTCATCAAGAGAAGCATACCCACAAGTGAGAGGATTCTTTGACATATTATCCTCAAATCACACAATAACTCTAACATTAAAACCCACTTGTTTTAGAACAATATAACTGCATTTCAAGTTATTGGATCCTTTCATTCAGAAATAAAGCTATCTTATTTTGACAAAACTAGTTATTTTTGCACAGAAAAGTCTAGTTTGAGCACTACATAAAGAAGATAAAATGAACTGTAGTTGAACATTTCCATATTTTGTGATCTAGGATTATTTTCCAGTTTTCCATTTAAAACATTTTATAAAAGCAAATACTGCATTTAAACAATAGTATTTTGCAAAACTTAGCTGGGCTTTGTACTCTTTAGGAAACCCATAAACAACACTGGATGCAAGAACAGAAAAGTGAAATCCCTTATAAACTTGTATTAACCAGTGAAACTAGTGAGATTTGTTTATCTGCCTAGCAGGAGTAAAGAGAAACACACAGGGCAATTTTAAATGCTATGTTTGTCTTAGCAAACAGCAAACATATTATTTAAAAATAAAGATCTTACTAATGTAGGACAGAATGGATGGGCTTTGCCACAGGAAATAAAGTCACCAACCCTGAAGTTTTATTGAAAACAGGTAATTATTCTAATATAAGTGATCCCAGTGAGACTTCTTCTGAAGTGCATTTTTGGGATTGGGACTGAAAGAAGAAATGACACACTTGCAGTGGGATTCACAAGAAGCAGACTTGAAGTATAGGAGAGCAAGTACTCAGGGAGTTAGCTTCAGATAATCCTTCATGCAAAGAATGATGAAGAACTGTCCTGCTGGCTGAGAATATACATGCTGCTGGAAGAACTGTAGCAAAAGAAAAACCTGCTTGGAAGCCTACTTCCACAAATATGCTTCTTGAACAACTCTTAGCATCAAACAGGTGTGTTAACTGTCAGCTAAATCAGGGTAGAGAAGAAAATAGAAATGGCTTAATTAAGTGCAGAAAGTACTAGTGTTGAGCAAGTACTGAAGAACATCTGAGAATATTACTGGCTTTCTACAATGAATGATTAAAATAATCTATTTTTTTTCCATTCACTATGACTGCTCCATTATGTATCATTAGGGAATGGAGATTTATGCATGCAAGTATTTGCCAGGCAACAAAAAGGGAATGAAGGGGCTATTTAGCATATGGCAGAAGAAAAAGTAAACAACGAGATTCTAGTAGCTAAATTACACAGTGGGCTTTGCCCACAATGGGCTAATTAACCTCAAGAAGTTGCAAGATGAAAGAGGGTAAAAATCCACCTCAATTGGCAGTGCACTGCATATGCTATGGTACTAATAATTTAAATTTATCTCACAGAAGAGATATTTGGGGAAAATTAGAAAATCTGAAAATTATTATGGACCATAATAATACCTTTTGTATTATTAACAGGACAATTTATGGACTCTGAGGCTACATGGACACAGGCAAGTTGAACAGTACTAGAAAACATTTCCCAAAAACTGAAAACAAACCATCTGTAAAGTGAGAATGGTCACTGCCACTGTTTCGGCCTGGGTCAACTAGCACCCTCCTAAACAACTCCTGAGCACAGCTGAGATGCTATCATGGGTTCATGACTATTCCCAAGACTCACTTTGCATGGGGACTTCTGATTTTGAGAGTAAAAGAATGTAATACCTTTCTAAGCAAATTTAATTTAGTAGTACAGAAAAAGCCTGAGTTTTCTGGAGCCCATTTTACCTGAAGGTCAACTTAACCAAAGCGATTTAGCAAAGTAATATGGAGAAACCATATCTATAATTTCAATGAACAATGACCAGCCATTTTTGGACCTGAGCATGGAATGCCATTAAGAATGAAATACAGCAACTTTATATTTCCTTTATATGAATTCCCTATGCCAATAAGTGTTTGACACAAGCCAGAGGGCACTCAGCCAGAGACTCCATTGTGGAGGAAAGCCATTCTTATCCAATGAAGAGAAAAACAAGATGCTTTGACCACCACTTAGGGAAACAGTAACATGATCATCATCAGTCAAAGCACAGCTGGGTATCAGAGAAGACATTGCTACAGTCTTACTATGTCTAACAACACTGGTGATTAAGCCTCTACCTTACTTGCCAAAGTGAGTTGTTTTCTAAGTCCAAGTTTAGAGATCAACAGCAAGTGGAATTACTGGATAAAATGAGGTGAGGGGTCTTAATCACCTCCTTAACTCTGCTGTAGACATATTTGATATGAATGTGCAAAGTTAGAAGACGAATGGGAAAGCTTTAGTCTGCAAGGCTGCACTCACAATGAACTCTTGATTGCAAAACTTGAGCCTAATACAAGAAAGTAAATCAGGTTCATTCTTTGAGAACTAAACAAATCATTCAGCAGAAATCTTGGTTCTCCCACTTCAATGAAACTTATTGCAAGAGCAAGTACTTTCCAATGAGCAAAAACCAGAGTAAAACCAGAATCAAAACAGTCAGTAAAACAGTTACATGTTCAGTTGAAAATGCAAGTACAAATGAAGCGGTGTATGTCTGCAATAACTTTACAAACTAGAGGTAGGAGATATTCAGCAGTTCCTGGAATTTGGATCACAATGAGCTGCCATTATAAATCACCATCTTATCTTAGCAGACAATTCATCAGAAATATATTAAATGGCCTTGGGCAGTATTTTATTTTAAATATGTATTCTGAATTAGACAACAGATTGCACTGGTCTAAGGGATGGACCAAATGCCTGATGAACTGACAATGTGGTAAATATTTGGTGCTTCATCAGACATTATTTTAAATATTTGCATACCAAAAATTTACATACAAACCTCTAATCCAAGTTTTGCCTAAGGAGGTATCATTCAAAACAGACACACAAAAAAGCAAAACGATGCAATATTGCTTTTGTTGCAGAAGCCTAATAGGGACGTAAAAACATTTCTGTCAATTAGATTTCAATTAATTTTTTTTTTTTTTTTTCCCTGAAATCAGAGATATAGTTCAGGTTACAGCAACAAATGAGAACTGCACTGAATATACCTTATAGCAGTACTTTTTTTCTACTCACACCAGTCTCACAAGCATGATATGAATGTATATATGCCGTTCTGGTGAGACAGTAACTATGTAAGATGATCAAATTAATAAAATGAGAAAATCATCCCCTTATAGACTTACTGTTTGAACTTTGTGGAAATCCAGGTAAGGAGGATGGACCATTAATTCCAGGCAGAAGAACAGGAGGAAGGCCAGGTAGTCCTGGATAAGCTGCTGGCAAACTGATACCATGAAGAGAACTGTTGTCCATCATGCCTGGTTGCTGTACTGTTAATCCTAGCACATCAGTAGCCTTCTTTATGCGATCCAACTCTTGTTGTGCCATCAGCTGTCTAACAGTTGTAGGAGCTAAATAATCTTTCTCCCGATCTAGCTGACTTCCTACAGTTTCTCTCACTTTTGTAATATGTTGTTTGGAAAAGATATGATCTCTTATGGACAAACGTGCAGAATATTTCACACCACACAGAGAACACTCTGGCTTTGTTCCATCAGGTCCAGTCTGATTTATCATGAATGGCTTCCCTATGTTAATTTTGAATTTCTTTTCTTTAGCCCGGGCATTCTGAAACCAGACCTGGACCACACGTTTAGGCAGGCCAATCTCATTCCCTAGCATTTCACATTCCTGCATTGTTGGAGTCCGGTAGTCACTAAAGCAAGCCTTGAGAACTTTAAGCTGAAGATTACTCATCTGTGTTCGGAAACGTTTGTGGCCTGGCCGATCACTGCTTTTGGATTTAAAGGGATTGCTAGCTCCAAATGGGTTAGGTGAACTTGGATCAGCTATGCTTGAAGTTTCACTGCGGTCAGCATTATCATCAGGGTCATCAGTAATGTAGTAACTTTGGTCATGGTCACCATCTTTTTCACTGAAATGCATTGAGGGGCTTGTTAAGGAAAAGAGAAACTTATCATCAGTATTCTCATTTGTAGGTGTAGTTGCAGCTTTTGGTAGTGTGTCGTTCACGAGTGGTTTTGGTTCTTTGGGAGGTGATGCAGGTTTTGCATCCCCAGAACTGCCAGTCATACTTTCCATTTCATTGTTCCCCTCATCCCCTGTTGTGGCATCACTAATTGCTGTATTAATTGATGAAGTCTCATCAAAGTCAGTCTTGTTTTGATCATATCCGGAATCAGCAGGAGGGGCATTCAAATTTTCTATATCCTCACTAGACTCTGCTTTAAAAGAAGAGGGACTTAAGAGGTTCTTCGGTGACATTTCCGCAGTTTTGCTAACAGGAGTTGATACAGTGGAGGCTAATTCATTTTCACTTGATAATTCCGTTTTTGCCAATGACAGTGACGGATAATCAAAAAATATGTACTTTTGTGGACTTTCTCCTCCATCTTCAGTTGATATCAAAGGACTTGGAGGCAAACTATAACCAGCCTGTTTCCCTTCATTCCAATGTCGAGAGCGAATGTGACTTTCTAAAGCTGATTTTGCTTTAAACAGAGCTCGGCAGAAAGGACACCTTTTATGGGATTGGGCTGGACCAACTGCACGGAATTGTCCCTTTCTTTCTCGGGCTCTAGTGTTCTGAAACCAGACTTGCACAACTCTCTTTTTCAGTCCCACTTCACGTGCAATGTGATCTAGCATCTTTCTGGTGGGGTTGGAATCTAGTAGGTACTTTTCATAGAGTATTTCCAGCTGCTCTGGAGTAATTGTAGTTCTTAAACGCTTATCACGATGTTGATCTTCTCCACTGTTTCCTCCCTCTTTCTCACTACAGTTATTGTCTTCTTTATCATCTAGTTTTCGTTTCAGGGAACCAGAAACTGTACCAGGGTGTGCTGTATGTGATGAGCCAGTTTGTGGCGGCATCTGAGCAAGAGAACTGTTAAGTAACTGTCCAGTCATCAAAGGATTATTTGGGTCAAATATCATATAGGGCATATCCATTGGTCTTTCTAAAAACTGTGAGTGAAGAAATTGATTTTGGGCTGCTAGGAAATGCATGTGCTGGTGCTCTTGCCAAAGTTCTAGAGTTGGAAAGGCAACTGTACACTGATCACATTGGTACTGTAATAACTGAGGAGGTAGACTGTTCTGTAGAGAAGTCATTGAAATTGGTAACGGACTGGAAGGAACAGATGTGGTCTGTGATGCAGAAGGAGGTCTCCCTACTATCTGTGATTGCTTTTGTTGCTGTGGTTGAGAAGATGAGGGCTGAGGGTCAGAAGAGGTTACTGGTGTAGACTGCACTTGTTTGGTGTTTTGGGGAATTGTATCAGTTTGCTTAGAGACGGTTTCATTTTGTTTTGGTTTTTCTGTGGACTCAGGTTTAGGAGAAGCTTTCTCAGGTTCTGGTTTGGGTGATGGAATCAAAGGAGTACTAGAACCAGAGCCTGAGCTTGCTGCTGTGACTGCCAGGTTTTTTGATGAGTCGTTTTGACCAGAGACTGTGCAGTTCTTATACACTGTTTGATCAGAGGCATCCATAGAATCTTCAGTTTGGCTTTCATCTTGAGCATCATCATCTTCATCTTTATAACACTGCTTTTTCTGGTGTGTAATCAAATCAAAGATCCTGGGAAAAACCACACTGCACTTTTTGCACTGATACTGCATGTTACTAGTTCGAATGTAACGCTCATTTGTCAGTTCCCTTTTTTCATTGTCTTTAGTTTCAGCTTGATTTTCGTAACTTTTGCGAGCTTTTTGTCGTGCATTTTGGAACCATACAACAATAACTCGAGTAGGCAGGTTAAGTACAGTTGAAAGTTGTTCGATTTCATCATCCTTTGGATAAGCATTTGTGTCAAAGAAGTCTTGGAGGACACGAAGTTGGTAGTCAGTAAACCGAGTCCTAGATGATCTCTTGCTGAAAGATGCATCAGACTTGTAAGGTTCTACAGCTGAAGGCTGAGGATCTATTCTGATGTCTTCCAATACAGTTATGGGAGGGTTGCTGAAATTATACGGAGAATCTTTATTTCTCTGTCGTTCTTTAAACAGTGTATTACGAAACCAGTGCTTGATAACTTTCTGTGAAAGACCAGATTTCTCAGCCATTTCCTGGATCTGCTCTTCACTTGGAGAATTGTTAATATCAAAATAAGCCCGCAAGATTTTTAGCTGGTCATCAGTGATTCTTGTACGTGGACGCTTGAACTGAGAGTGCCGCAGGAAATTAGGATCTAATCCCAGCTGCTGCTGACAAAGCTGGGTGAGATCTGCAGATAAAGTATCCATTGGTGGCAACTGAAGAGCAAGCTGCGGAGGCAATGCAGGATGCTGCACTGGCTGCATCATAATTGGAGGGAAAAGAGGGAGATCAAGTGAAACAGGAAGTTGGACTTGAGGTGGGGCTGACGGTGGTGGTGGAGGAGGAGGTGGTGGTGGTGGAGGAGGCGGTGGCGGTGGTGTGGGTGGTGGAGCTTGCAAAGGAGTAGGAGTTGTGTTTTGAATTTTTCCATTCCCAGCTGAAGAAGACTGAGAAGGAGTTGGAGGAGGAGGTGGTGGTGGTGGTGGTGGAGGTGGTGGTGGAGGTGGTGGTGTTTCTGGAGAAGACGGAGAAATTGGATAAAGCTTGTCATATGCCTCCCTGTATTGTCGGGCAAATTTTTCTAATGCTCCATATGGAAAAAACTGTCCATGCACATGTTCTTGATGACTCTTTAGAATAAGAATGTTGGAAAAGAGCTTACTGCAGGTTCCACATTCCAGTTTGTCTGTGTTTTCACCTTCACCAGTCTTGCTTTTTTTCTGCACTTTTTGTCTGTTCTCATTGTATTGGATAACTAACTCAAAACCAAAGTTCTCCAACAAAGCCTTGGCTGCATTCCCCCTTGCTCCAGAAGCTATTCTGGGTGGTGGAATGGTTGGTTCTGAGGATTTTGGCTTCTTCATATCTTTGTTTTCTTTTAGTCCTTCATTCTCATTAGTAAATTCTTGCTTTGGCTTCTCTTGTTTCTCAGAAACTTCTTCTGACTCCTTATATGATGGCATATCCTTTATCAGCTGGCAATCTGTACTTAATAAGGTATTTTGCTCTGCTTTCATCAGCTTGCTACTTTGCTGTGGCTGTTTTTGGGACTGAAGTTGGGGTTGGGTAGATTGATACTGTTGTGCTTGTTGCTGCAGTATCTGTAGCTGGGTTTGGCCAACATGGTGCTGAGTTTGTATCTGCTGCTTCAAATCTTCAAGCAGTGATCCTGTCATGCCAGCCATTCCAGGCATACCGAATGTGGCTGAACCAGGCAAACCCAGATCTGGGCTTAAGCTAAATTCCGTCCCAGGTATATAGAATGGGAAAAGGAACTGAGGCTGTTGAAATTGCAGCAGTGCTTCTGGTGTCATTGGAAAATGAGGCAAAAAAGCTGGGTTTAGAAACTGGGGTTGAAAGAACGCAGCTTGCTGTTGCAGTTCATGTTGTAGTTGCATTTGAAGTTGTGCTGGTGACTGGGGTGGGTGATGTGTAGGCTGAGCAGAAATTAACTCAGAGGCTTGCTTCTTATTTAATTCTTTGGCATCTAAATGTGTTTCTTTGCTGTTAACTGCTGGTAAGCTCATAGATTCTAGCATTCCTTGGCTGGGGCTATTAACATTCCCTGTTACACTATTTCCGCTACTTATGTTACCACTTGGTTCTAATTTTGCAGCCCTTGCCTTTGTCTGATGAAGCACAGATCTCATGTGAATTTCCAATGTAGAACTTTGGCTATATGCGACATTGCAAATGCTGCATTTGTAGGGTTTGTTGTCAGTGCTGCTGTTGGTTTCTTGAGGGACGGGACTTGATGCTTCCTGCAAAACCTTTTTGAGCTTATGTAAATGGGACACTGAGTTATAGTGGACCAAGAGAATGTTCTTCTGGGTGAAAGACTCTTTACATACTGTGCACTTATATGGGCGAGATGGATCTAGAAATTTTTCCATAGTAAAATTTGGCCCTTTTCTAAAAGGTAAGGTCCGCTTTGGTTCTGAGCTCATATCATCTGGAATAGAGCTACTATCACTTCCTACAGGACTTGCTTTACCTTCCTGGTCCATCTCATAATCTCTTTCTATTTCCTGTTCTAGTGCATGGTCTTCTTGTGGCATACTTTCACTTTCTGCCCAGAGTTCACCATTGACAGGTAAAGATGCGCAGAGCTGCTGAAGTTCAGCTTCATTGAGCTCAGGGTGGCCTGCTTCCAAGTGTTTTTTTAAAGCCTGGAATGTACGGAAACTACGTTGGCAAAGGCTACACATGGTAGCTGCCCGAATAGCATGATACTGGGAATGTATCTGAAGCTTCTGCATAGTCTTAAAAGCCAAGCTACAATGGTTACAACGGTACTTATAGACATGGCGGTCAGAAACAGAGAGCTGTTGCTTCTTCTGCTGTTCGTTTAGCTGATCCGTCATTGAGTCATTGGTCTTTATATCTTTACTGCTGCTCTTATTCCAATCTGGCATTTCAGTAGATTCCTTAGGTGGCTTCTGTTCCTCCGTTTTAATTTCCACTCCAGTTTTTGATTCATCGATCCCAGGGGTACTTTTCTCCTCTACAGCACTTTCACCTAGGCAAAGAAAGTTAAGTCTCTTTTACACAAGTAGAAGAAAATAGCACATAGTATTAATGTGTTTTTTTTCATCAGAAATCCAGAGAGGCAACTGGCATGCCATGTGTTGGCCTAATAGAGTATAGAGACCCATCCCTGCCCTAGAGAGTAAAGCAGACAAGACCAACATAAGGATAAAAAAAGTAAAAAGATCCGAACATGATGATCTGAATGTCAGTGGCAGTTGGCCTGGGAGAGGCACAGGGCTTGTCTTTGTCATGAAGTGGGAGTTTATTGGCACATTAAATGCACCAACCAAAAAAAAGAAACTAAGGAGTGGGAAAGAGGGAGGTATTAGAAATGAGGTCAATAGATAGGACAGGTGATTAGAATGGAGGAAGTTAATCTAAGGAGAGAGGGAAGAGCATGCTGTGAGAGGTAGCAAAGTAGCTTCCCAGCACAGAATACAGAAAGGGTCCAGGACAAAAAAACTGTTTGGAAAGGCAGGTTTGCCTAATATTCCCCATCGATGTTGGTGAAAGTGCCACTGTCTTTTGGGACTGGGACTTATTTGCTAGTTAAACAAGGAGAGCCTTACCTTCAAAGTTGCTAGTCCACTACCACAAGCAACACACATGTGGCATACACATGTATGTTAGTTCTGCATGAGTATAGTCAGCCAAACTCAGGCCTCTGGTTATTTTTCTCTTTTTATCTCCGTGGCTACATGCAGGCCAAAAAAGGACTCACTTCACTAAGAAACAAATGGTTTCTAAATTTCCAAATTGCCCATATCTAATTCTTACATGTCTGGGCTTTTTCTTGCATACCTGGATACTTCCCAGATCCCTCAGCTGTAATGGTTGCAGGTGTGTCACGTTCAGATTTTTCTGAAGCAGCTGCTGGCAATAGCATACTATTGGGCATCATGACATCTGGAACAGGAACCTTTGAAAACCAAGAACAAAGCATTATTACAGGAAAAGTCACACTATTTAATACTATAAAACAGTATGCAATCATAATTCAAAAGATCCACCATACATGAACCAAAGATTATCAAAGTACCTGGAAAGGATGGGAGAGGAGAGATTTCAAAGTTGCCCCACTGTCAGAATAGAGGGAACCATGGAGAACTTGAGCAGAATGCTAATAAACATCAATAGGGATTATTCCACATTATTCCAGTTTCCTGAAATGGTCTGGGAAAGTTAAATTTCTACTGTGTTTTTATCCCAAATTCTGTATATGCTCATCACCACTAGGTACGAGGAACCTTAGGCCTTCAGTCAAGAGCTCTTTCAATTCTTTCTTATTTTTGCCACTTTACTTGGGAATTAGGTATTAGGGCTACAACCACAACTGTATAATGAAAGAGGAGTCTATAAATATGGAAATAAATCCTTAAGGAGGTGGATCCTTGAGATTTCCAAGCGCATTTCCTTCTAAAAAGGCAAGACAACCAGAGTCAAGGTGTCTTAGAAGGTCTGTTTTCTAACTGATTCTATGAAATAATAATAAACACTTTCTAGACCTTGTTTCGTCTTTACTGATGAGGTTTGAATGGTGCTGAATCATAATTTTTCAAAGAAATGTATTATTTTACATAGTTTGTGCAATTCTGTAGCAAAGAACAGGATTTTCTTGGTGAGCCTGGAATGGGATTCATTCTCTAAATAGAGTTTGCTGGTTATAGTATTTATCCCCATCAGGGAGAAACCAGTTCAAGGCCCTGTCTGACCCAGAAAAAGATACTTGAAATAAGATATTCCATATCCTAAAGAACTGACCTAACAGGATTGCTACCAATTTTTTGATTTGTCTTTTTGTTTCGTATTCACATTTTATTCAGAAAAAAACCCCCAAAAAACAAACAAAAATAAAACAAACAAACAAACAAAAAAACACTAAAGGGTCTCAGGGTCTTTTATGCAGAGTCAGAAAGTTAGAAACAGGACATTCTGTACAATACAATAATCGTATGCAAGTACAGCAAGTACAGACCAGCTATAGCCAGGAATTCTTCTGCATTCAGTAAGTACATTCTAAAGGCAACTCCTGTTATTCTACAAATATTTTACAGCTCCCATTATATAAACAGGAGTCACAATACCTCTGAGACTGGATATTATTAGACCTAATTTGCAGACATGCACTTAGAGACATTGACAGGCTTGATTTTTCGAAGGTTAACGTCAATGAGGAACTGCAGGTTTTCAGCACCTTTGAAAGCCATCTTCAGTCATTTTCCCAAGGGATGTCAGTGACTGGATGACCTGGCAACAGAACTGAGGAGTCCTGACCCCCTCCCCTCCTCAGGCTACCTGAATACTATAACACAACAAATACATTGCCCAGAGGCCCAAGTACATTTCTGTAGCATGTGCATCAGTATTGGGAACACTTACTGTCATGAGCAGTTTCTCCACACAGTCAGGGGACACACTGTGCAAATGGGTTAAATGAAGCTGGAGATGCATTTTGTTGCTGAGGACATCCTGGCAGAGGGGGCAGCAGATAACAGGTTGCATTGAATGCTGTGACAGGACATGCATCTGGATACGATTTGGGTCCCTACTATTGTAGTTACAATAAGGACATTGATAGAACTGAAAAAAATCAAATTAAGATGCAGACTATTAGTTAGTACTTTTAATAACTTGCTGGTAATGCTATTTCAACAGCATATCATCTCTGTTTCATTCTTGAATTATTTGAAAGAGTTCTGGAATGCAATTAAATTGTTACATTTTCCTTTACCTGCTCATGACAAAATTTATTGTCCTCTGGAGGCTTTGATTTTTTAGCTGCACCATCCTCTTCTTTTGCCAGAAGAAGCTGTTGTGCCCCTACCACAGTGTTCACTTTTGGTTCCTTCTCTGGTGTGACTATTCCTGTTCCGAAAACATAATTTTTAAGAACATATTTTAAACTTCAAGATATCCTGGTTTACAAAGAGGCTGTGATTCCAAAGGTATATATTGTCTTTGAAGGTCTTTTTTTTTTTTTTTTTTTTCTTAAATTCTGAGAAAAAATACAGTTAAATAAAACAGCTCTGGTAAACACTAAGGTGAAAATACACTTTTACTCTTGATGGGGATGCTATAAACACATTTGAAAATGGACTCCTCTCTACAGTTTATATAACTTTAGGTTGTTTTGAAAGATTAATCAATAATGTGCTTCCTTTAGTAGCTTGGTATGAAGTTGCCTATTACATTGAAACAAATCAGCTTTCGCTTAAAAATCCTGTTTTTCAAAATAATTAATTTGCTGCTGTTTAATTATGCTCTCTCTTTTCTAAATTGTCTGAGCAATATGATTATTGTGCAGTTTTGATAACTCCTGTCTGGTTACAATTCCAAAGCTAAGAATAGTGAGGCTTTAAAAGAAATACTGTGGAGAATAGGATTTCAGAGTTAACTTAATATTAATTATATACAAAGATTAGTCATTTGGGATTGTCTTAGATGTTTACACTGTGAATTTTTGCAGTCTGGCATTTGTGATGAAAACCAGAATATAATTGTTTTCTATGGATAGATCTACTATTAAGTATTAAATGCTATATTTAATATTATGCCTGAACTAGCTGTGTAATGCGGCCCAGTCTTGCACACATCAAAGGAAAGAGTGCAATTCTAATTTCCAAGTCAGTCAGAAAATTCTTTCCAGCGTCAATTTGCCAGATAATCTCTTCTGCTAGGCTGGATATTACAAGAGCATTGGGTACGCATGTCACATACATCTCACGACAAACACAAAACCTCATTTACCAGCCATTCCAATCTCATCATAGTACGGCATCATCTGACCTTTTTTCTGCTGTTTATTATGAGTATTTCTAATTTTAACTTTCAATTTTCACCATCTTCCAGTCAATTTGCAACTAAATTATTTCCAGGGTGAGGACACTATCACTGGACACTGGGTGCAAATACATCTTGAAATGCAATGAAGCTAAACCATTGATTGCTATCAGACCCAACGTAAATATATAGTCCAGGGGTAATCTGATTGTATGCTGTGCATGAAGATTTATCTTGATTTTTTTCAATGCACATAAGGTTCATATAAATGAACAAATTGCACCTCATTGCACAATAACCTAAGATTAAATTTAAAATAAGGTCATGGATGTTTTGGCAACAAAGTAAATGTGAACAAAGAAAATATTTGTGTTTTTCTGTAGACAAAACAGAGAACTTTTATTATTATTATTATTTATTATTATTATTATTTTCATATAGGCTTTGTGCAATATTTTATATTAAAGAAGCAACATTAAAGAGAAGTAAAATAAGAGAATAATTTTCACAGTAAATACCAAGTCCTCATGGTACAATAATAAAAAAATGAAAACTGGATCATATAGGGACATTTTCTGAAGTGTTTTTTTGTTATTTTTCAATAAAACAATATAAAGGTATTTTATTACTTATAGATTAATGGTGATTTCCC